GGAGGGGTTGCCCGACCGCGATCCCCCCGTTGCGGGCGCGCTCGCTTAACAGCGGATCCAACCCGGCGAGCAGGCGATACCAGCCATCCGAGACGCGAAGCAGCCGGCGATGCGCGCCTTTTTCGCCTTCCGGAAGCCCCACCACCGTCAGCAGCATCGGCGCCGCGGCGGGCACCTCGCCTTCGGTGATTTGCCGCAACACCGAACGCGCCCCCGCGACGATCTCGTGGTTGTAACGCAGGCACACCACCAACGCCGTCGAGGTCGGCGTGAACAACGAGGCCGACGAGGAAAACGACGCGGGGGAAGACGAAGAAAGAGGAGGAAGAGGGGGAGGGGGAGAAGAGGAGGCGGAAGAGGAAACGAAGAATTCCCCCCCGGGCGCGCAAATCGCGCGGACCTGCAGCATGGCCGCGATGACGGCCTCTTCGCACCACGCCGACGAACACGCCGTGGGGCTCGCGCCGAGCGTGAGAAGCAGCCGCCGCCAGGCCTCGGGCCCCACCAAAGCCGCGCCATCCGGGCGATTTCCACCCAAAGGTGCCTCGCTCACGGGATTTCGCGCGAAATTTTCGCCTTCCACGCGAGTTCGCGCGGTCGTTTCAGCCGCCGCCGTGTCGTTTTCGACCAGGAGCCCGAGGAGGCGGCGAAGGGCCTCCCCGCAGTCCGCCCGCGCGAACCAAAAGCGGCCGTCGGCGATCGTTTCAACCTCCGGCAGCCGCCGCGGCGCGCGAGAGGGAAAACGGGGGTAAACAAACGAAATCGCCTCCAACGAAGACGACGACGCAAAAAGAGAAGAAGAAGCAGAAGAAGGTGGAGGAGGGGGAAGGGTTTTTCCAGGAGGAACTTCTCGCGTAAGAGGCGGAGCGGCCACGGGGCGAATTCGCGGGGGGATAAAACCCCGTCGTAACGGACGATTGGAGGGGATGAGGGCGGCCTGCGGGGGATCGGAAGGGGGGCGGGGCTCCTCAGGGGGGGGGTTCAGGTTGGGAGGGGGGCAAATCCCGCGTGAGGGGCTCCACGAGGTCGGGGAGGGCTGCCCCCTCGGCGTTTTTTCCCTCAATCCCATCATCTTTCTCGCGAGCGGTTGGTGTTTCTTTTTCCCCTCCTTCCTCCCCTTCTCCATGCATCCGATCCGGCTCAAAAAAAGCGAACTTCGCCCTCGCCTTTTGAAGGGCGGCATCGCTGATTTGAATCGCCTTCCCACTAGCGGTGGAGAAGAGGGACAGAACGGAGGCTGGAGGGGGAAGGGAAGGGGGAGGGGCCGCGGATGATATTTCGCCATCGCCAGAGAGGCCTAGACTCGTTCGCTCTCGCTTTCGAAGGTACCGCAAGCACATGGTGCACTTCAGACGATTGGGCTCGTTTAGAAAAGTGCAATGGGGGCACGAGATTTTCTGCATCACTTTTCTCTTCTTATTTTTTTTTGCATGTAGTTTATATTTGGGGGTAGTTATAAGTGAGATTTCCCCAAAAAAAATGAAGTCAAGAGAAATACGAAAACAAAGTGTAAATGGAGAGCAGAAAAATACGACCACACAAAAAACAAACCTAATTTAGATATGTGCATAAAAGGACCTGCGATGGATTACGTGTAGACAACACGATTCTGATTTGCCACCTCCCCTATTCACTTATTTTTCCCCTTTATTTGTCAGGATAAATCAATAGTGGTGGCTAAGGTAAAACATCTCGACGTCATTTTTTTAAAGGTACGTAGGAGCTAATTGGGTAAAGTGCATCAGGAATACTATTCAGTAGATTTAAGCACTCATTCACAAACTCCCACACAGGTCGCTTTGCGTACTGAGGCATAGAAGACGCCCCAAGTTTGTCATAATGTTCTAAAACTGGAGGCAACGTAAAAAAGAGCCTCAGCAGATACTCCAAGGTCAATAAAGACGCGAATGAACTGCCCTCGCCTCTCGTTTCATCGACCTCCTCCTCTATCTTGGGAGCCTTCCTCGCATTTTGCTCGGCCGTAGCTTTGGAACGCGGTGCGATCACAGTTTTGCGTATTTTATGACGCAACATTGACGTGATCACGCGCCGTTCTCGGGGTAAGAGAAAGGTATGCATGCACGCCTCCCCGAGAATCTCACACACAAAGTGAATGCAGTAGTCGGTAAGGTCGTAGTCAAAGCCTTTCTGAGCGAGTCGTTCCGCTAGGGTATGATGACAGTTATCAAAAAAAGTACGAATTGTCTTATGGTCGTTATCCATCGGCGGAATTGAAGGGCTTTCTGCACTTTCAACCGCTTCTATGTGTTGTTTCAGAGCTAATAGAAGCCTTGGTGGCCATATGATTGGGCTTGGGGAGGACATCGATTATTTATCGAAGTCTTCCCTCTTTACTTTTCTGGTTTCCGTGATGCGTAAAAAAAAAAGATTTAAGAGTAGAAACAAGGAAGGACAAAAAATTCCTGAACACATCAGACAAGCTCCCGCTACTTCACAAAGGACTCATCGTTTATTGATACCACTATATCCAATGCATATTGCAGTGTTTGATAAGGTTGCTGTTTCCAACCTTGTAATATTACAAATTATTTAGTTTCCCTAGCAGAATTAATGAACTTCCCTGCTTGTGCTATAGCCCCCCAAAAGTATTGCAGGGTCTTCCCCCAGCTCCAAGGTACAAGTTAGATGATTTACTCAGTCATTCGATAATCGGTTCATGCTCTTGGTGGTTCGTCTGTTGTATCCATAATTCACCTTTTGGAGGACACAAATGTTACCATTTTATCCAATAAAGGGATAAGATTCTCTCCAACTATTCAGCACTTTCACTTCCAAAGGGTGTAGCTGTCAAAGTTCATTGGAATGTTTTTGAGATCAGGTTACCCTCCTTCGGCCCCACAAGTGTAAATTTCAAGATATTGCGCTTTTACGGATCACACTGGAGGGTATTAGAATGAAAATATTGCATATCCCCTAGAAATGGAGTTCTCAATGAGGTCTAAAGAATATGACATCATGTTTTCTCTCCCTCCTCTTCTTCACACAATCCCCCCCTCCAAGAAATAGAAATGCCTTGATTCTAATGGTTTCAAATCCAAGGTGTGGAAATGAAATGCGATCAGAAAAGGTTCTTTCATGACTGCAAAGATCGAAGCAATATATGGAAAGACGCCATTAGAACGCTATCAAACTTTAATGTGAGTAAGCGACTCAATCCTATGATAAGAGAGATCCATTAAGGAAAAATGAACCATGGTATATTTAAATAAAGAATAGTATATTAAGTATCCCTATTCTTTTACACAATACCTCCTCCTCCCCCACCAAAACAAAAGAGGATAACGCAAACATTTTTTTTAAAGATTAGTAATAGATCATGGCAATATAAAAACTCTTTCTCCAACGACAAAGCACATTTCTCCTTGTATAAATGTGAGAAAATATTAGATCAGTCTATCAATTCTCCAGCATCATGAATGTCATTTGACTTTCCTTCTTAAAAGAAAAAGACGAAACACATCAAAATCATCTTCACATAAACTGAAAACAAAGCATACATTCACAAGGCAATGTGGGTAGTTTCCTTAAAATACCAAAAAAAACTGATAAAGGAATCCATAACAACCACCCAAACCATCTTCAGACTCGTTTTGATTCACCTCCACCCCCACCCCTCTCTGTTTCTCTCTCCCTCTCCCTCACACCATCTCGCCTTCAAGCAACCATTCTGCAAGCAACAATATCACATGGTACGTGTGTGGCCGCAAGGAGCCAGTACCCCTGCCGTTCAACAGAAAACAAAAGCGCGTAGTCGTAGGCGTAGTCTTGTAGCGGATTATCCTTGATATTCATCTTCGCGCGATTCAAATAGTGCACGGCTTTCTTCAAATTATCCTTCCCCAGCCCAATCTGGGGTGTGATGTTAAACTTATTCATTTCACTTGACGTGAGCTGGTAGACGATCGTGCAGCACGACTCATGCCACTCCCGCCGCGACACCTCCTCCCGCTTCAACTGCCGTTGGAAGGCATTGAACTCCTCCATCTCCGCCCGCGACGGCTTCACCCATGCCTTCGCGACCCCGCCATTCCCACTCCCTTCCGTGGAGGTGTGATTCCCGGCATAACCCCCACCCCCTCCCGCGGCGTAGGTCGAGAGGGCGTTGTAGATCTGCGCCGCGAGCCCCGGATTCCCTTTCACCTCGCGCGCGTATCGTCGAAATCCCTGGCGATCCGCGTGCTTCACGCCCTCGGCGCAGAGGACGGTGTGGTGGACGACGCAGTACTCCGCCGGCCAGGCGAACGCCCGCGTGTTGAGGGCCTCCACCGCCTCATTCACGGATCCAAAAAGCGCCGAGGCATCCAACACCCCTTCCACGTTCGACAACTTCGCGTCGTTGCCTTTGAGTTGGAAGGAATTCGAGGCCTTCCAACGCGCGTGCGGCTGGGAGGGCGATTGGGATTGCATCAGGCGGGCAAAAAGATCCGCCCCGGCGGCGGGCGTCGTCGCGGAGGCCGTCGTGGAGGCGCCCCCTCCCCCTCCTCCTTTCGCCGCCTCCACGCTTAAAATCACGGGATCGGCGAGCGCCTGATTCGGGGTGGCGGCGGAAAGGGTGGGGCTTTTCCCGCACCCCGTCTTCGCGCTGCGGGGCATTGGAATCGCGATCGTCTGCAGCGCGTTCGCCGTGCGTTGGGCGATGGAGCAGCCGAGCAGGCGGGGCTCCTGCCCACGAGGCATCTCCGCAAACGGCGAGACGGGCGCGAACTTCGCGCTTTTCATGAACATCGACCACGGCATCGTCGCCACGTGCTTGTCGGCGACCTCCTCCAGCATATCCACAAAGCCCACATTCGCGCGCAGGGTTTGCAGCTCGCGGTGGTATTCCTCGTTGTAATCGGACGCATCCGCGACGTTGCTGATCAACATCGACACTACCGATTCGTTCGCGTTGCTCGGGGCTTTGAGCAGGGCCCCGACGATTTGCAGGCGGCGCTGCGATAACAGGCGATGCTCGATGTGGATGACGGTGATGTTCAGCATCAACCCCCCGGGCAGGCGGCTGGAGATCTGCAGCAACGCGCGAATGGGGTTTTTCCCCTCCGGTTTCGCCATCAACTCCGTCGGTTCCCATTGCAACCCAAGCCGGAGCAGGGCGATGGTGCCTTCCTCGTGTAACGTGACGTGGTTGGTCTCTAGAAGCGCATAGCCTTTGCGTATTGTGTTGAGGGCCTTGATCCGCGTGAGGAAGGCGTGGGAAACGCTGTGCGCGATCACGATCGCCGGCGTGTGAATCGTCAGCAGCTCATTTAACTTGTCCACCTCGGCTAAATCAGCGCGGTCGAGATCCACATTACACAAGGTGATCGTTTTCGGGGAAAAGGCCGGCAAATTTGAAGGCTTGCGTTCGTTCCAACCCCCACCATCGTCGCAATAATAAAGGCTCTTGGTCATCTGTTTCAATTTTAATTGGAAATTATATACCCCCACGCGGTAGGTAATATATAAAAGCCCTTTTGAAGATCAACAGCGGGCGGAATTTCGTTTACCTTTCAAAATATTACCAAAAGCTTCAAAAAGCAAACCAAAAATTACTTAGAATTATAATGGAGGAAATGAAAATTAACGTGCGCGACATTGAAAAAGCAGACAGAGGAAGATGCTCATGAGGTACAGTGAGTGAATTCTCGCAGGTCCCTCTTCTCCAAGGGCCCGACTAGAAATGTAATGTCGAGAGAATACGATGGAGAATAAGTATCGGTTAAGTACAATTAGAAAATTTAAAGTAAAAAAAAAAAGAAGCAAGTACTTCAAACTAAGATATTTTTCAGCTAAAGATGTATTATTAATGGCTCAACACTTGACAAACATATCTATTTGCGGCAAATCATTTGTGAGTTTCACCATCATACATATACATTTAGATTTTTTCTTTCTATATGTACATATTTATTTATTTATATAATACAAACTGAAAACACCTGGTGCTTTAGCAAGACGCAACAACCCCAGTTTTACAGTCCAAGCAATATATAATATCATGAATGAAGAGAGGCATGGAAAGAGGAGGGTTCGTCACAAAGTAGCGTGCGTTGATTTTCAAGTATTCATCAGAAGGGAAGAGTCGAAACACTCCGATCGCGATACAGCGGCGGTTTGTTAACAGAAACTCAAACGCGGCTCCAAAGGTTTCACACTGAAGGCTTCTGTTGCCACACAGCCTAAAGAGAGTTTGCGTTAGCGGCTCCTGGCTAATCCACATGCTTGGGTTGAATATATCGACCGTCAAAGTGAGGTTCAGCACCATGTTAAAAAAGGTGTTGATTCTATGCTCTCGATAACTGTGTATCAACAGCGTATGCAGCATATTCGAGGAAAAGCAGCGCCCTAGCATGAACGCAAGGGAGTCCTGAAAATTACGCTCACCGCGCCGGCGCCACTCGTAATCGACGTGAAATGGAGCAATTTTGATGGAAGACAGAAAAGACTGCAGCTCGATCATGATGTTCTGCTCAGGAATCTCCTCTCGACCCCCCGACCTCTGCGCGTTCATCTCCAGAAAGCCAAGAACATCGTTCATAACCGATGACAGAGGAATATCCCCAAAGTCGCGTGGACCCATCTGAGAGCAGTAGAGCAGAATGCCATGAATCCTCTGGGGTTTGTTGCTGCCCCCAAGAAGAGAGAAATAAAGATGATGATTAAGAATACCCTGCCCTTGTATACAACACAACGGGGCATTGAAAATACTTTCCCACATTTTTAAATATTCTGGCGGGTACTTACGCAGTGTCAGCAGCCTCAACTTGGAGTATGGATGCACGGAGCGAATGCACTGCATCATTACATAAAGTCCATACTGTGCGATTGTCTGTGAAATGATGTCTTCATAGACGGAGATGCTCGTCTTACGCTGAATGGATGACGCTTGATCAATAAAAAGAAAGACCACCTCCTGCTGAGTATCCACGGTGAAGTCCGCAATGGCAGACGCGTGCTCGTGTGCGAGATCTTTGAGGTACGCGTTTAGTTGTCTTTCGGCGTCGTTCAAGATACCCGTGCGTTCTTCCTCATTTCCGTACGATCTGGATAACGCATCTTCGTAGCGCTTCATGAGAATATCAAGGTGACGCGCATCCTGGGGGCCAAGTTGGAGAGAGCTGAGAGGTATACCGCACATCATTTTGGGCACACACTCGAGCTTTTCAAGTCGAAGCTTGAGGTCTTCTTTAGATACGCGTGGAGATCCACTCCCGAGGTCGCCCTTGCGCACTTTTTCCCGATGTCGTTCATTAGGGTAGCCCCACGGAGTTGAAAAGCTCGCGTTGCATGTGTCGACGCGAAAAGATTCGTTTACGTTTAGTCTTACTTCCCCATCATCCACGCTACCGTGAAGGGGCTCGTTCTCGTTATGTTCGGGCATCTTTTCAGTGCTATCAAAGCGATTGAATAACTCCAAAGCAACCGCCATACTATTGCGTAGGGACTCGTAGATAGCGGCTAAGGCGTCATTATTGGTCATTCGATAGTCCAAATTCAAGTGCATCACCTCTCGGTCACTCTCCACGACGCCCACAATGAGAACATCATGGCGCTTGAAGATGCGAACAATATTTTCCAGTTTCCAACCAATGAAGCAGGAGGGTACCGGAAATGTGCTGATGACGTTACGACGGCTATACTCGTACTGGCTTTTCCAATCCGTCACGCCGTTTCCAGTCCACAGCTCCGGAGGCTCTTTACCTTCCGCCCCGGCGTTCCGCACCAAATTCACTAAAAAAGGAACGATACCAGGCAGAAGCATGGCGGTCGCCATGATGTTCTTTTGCATATATTCATTAATTATACTTATGTGCTTTCCACATAGGAGTTTAGCGTGCAAACCGTAGCAAAACCAGTGATACTGCGGCAGGTTCGGCGCGGACTGCTCAAACGTTAATGAAGTCAACATCACATCATCGTCTACACGGGACGAGTAGCCCGCTTTAACGGGAAGAATAAACACCGCACACGCCTTATTTGCTTTCATCCGACGAAACGCGAAGATGTCGAGCGTGTCGATAATTAAAAAAGTAGTGCGCATGCGATACGACGGATGCCTACCAATCGATAGAACGTCTTCAGAAAACTCTCGATTGCAAAAGCACACCGCCTTCATGGGATACAAGCAAAAGACCTCGTCCAAAATAGAGATTGCCTCCTCACGGGTTACCAGACCATAGACAATAAAATGATTTAATCTACCCTTATAAGTACGATATAAGCGCAGAAGTTTAATGGTTGAGCGAATCACGTGGATGAAGGTTGGCATCTTCGATAGGAAGAGGATTATAATAACAATAACAACCCCTTTTCCAAGCGCTGTTTGTGGGTGAACATCACCAAACCCAACCGTTGTGACGGTCACGACCGTGAAGTATACAGCATCGGCAAAGCTCACATAATAGCCGTTGAAGGACTCTACGCAGCGAAACACCGACGAGGCGGTGAAGACCATACAGATAAAAAGCGTTAAAGAGTCTGCCGCAATCTGAACGAGGTCTAGCTTTCGATTACGAGTTGTCATGGAGGATATAGAATCTAAAATAAACAGAAGGTACTGCCTCATAGGCCAGCAGCGCAAAAAGAGAGGCACATACATCCGACTAGCCGACGTCCAAGAGGTACACAAGGCGACCAAACCAACCAAGATCTGATAGATGGAAGTGCTGATCACAACAAATATCGTCGAAATGCTCAACGAGTAGGCGAACAAAAGCTGTAGAAGCGAAATAATCGAAAGAATGAAGCGGGCATAAAAAAATTTGCTTTTCTCATAGCGGTCGTAATGCATGAACGATGTGCTTTTAAAATTGGGCTGCGCGATCGATAAACCAACCAGACTTAGCTCCACTAAAAACAATATTACCCACACCACCAGCGCGCCCACAGGATACTGACGAATAAAACTCTGGAATACATATTTCAGACCAGATATGAAGTGAAAATCAGAGCCTGAAGAAGCGTTGGAATTCTTATACTTTGATTTTAAGAGTTCCTTGTATTGCTGCTTATCCATCGTCCGTTTCCTATCGCGGCGTGAAGGCCGCCACTGCGAGCGCCCCTCAACATTCAGTGGAGGTATTTGAAGCCGACACCTCGTAAACTTTAGATCAATTACCTCAGGAAGCTTTTCGTCACTAGACCTTCCTTCAGATACCGCGGCATTGGGAGAGAAGATCATCAAGGGGAGTGGCGGAGCATAAGAAACGTAAGTACGGACCTGTTAGATCTGAATAGAATCGCACACAAAAATTCTGTATCGGGCGTAACCAAAGGATGTGTGACTGATAAAAAAGAACAACCAATAAAGCGAGGCCCAAAGTACACTAATAGCTGTGTCCCACTCTTGACAAACAATAACAAGTTCCACTGTCACCAATTTTTTCCCTTTCTAACTAGTATTTCGAGTATTTTTAAGCCTTCCTTTTGATAGTCTTCGAACACTGTGATTACCTACCCGACGTGTGTGTATAAATCAGGTACATATGAAGACTTAATTTTAAGCTCTAAAACGAGAAGAACGACAACGGAAAAGATACGATTTTGCTATTTAATCATGAATTAATTAAATAAAAAACGATGCATTACGGATAGAGGTTTTCCTCGTTGCACAATTTGTGCGAGTAAAAATAATAATTTGACCCAACAATTTCTACTTTTTTTGTCCAATTGTTAAATTGAGATTTATATTCTGACTAAATATTTAGTAATTTCACCCCCTTTAATAATTAAATTTATAAATAGATTGAAAATTTGTCCACTTGAGTAATATATATATATATATAAATAACTTATTGATACGATTACTACAAATTTGCCTTGAAGAACTGAATTCTTTTGATTAGCTTTGACTACCTGCTAACGAATTTTATAAATATTTTTAAATCATCTTTGCTTCAGGTTTGAGAATCAAAAGAATGACCGAACCCTCTGCCTCTGAAATACAAAAAAAAAGATCACCAATATTCTTCCCACTGATGACTCCATGTTAATACTATTATTACTTCGAGCATATAAAATCCCTTTCGTGCTTATTGTTTTATAGATGGATGACTTCCCTCCATTCCATTCCTCCCTAAGAGAAGGGGTGGGGAAATGGGGTAACGCTTACTACGCTCAATTCAATAGACGACGGCAGAACCGCCGGGCGACGACGACACCGAGCAGGAAGAGGACGCAAATCAGGGCGTACCTCGACAGTCCGCTGCAGGGACAGCAGCATTTCTTATCCCCTCCCTCCGCACGGGCAGGGGTGGAAACGGGAGCAGGGGATTCCGCGGCAACCTTCACTGCCGGGGCCGCGCGCTTCTCGGTGAGGACCGCCACCCCGGGGAGCGTCTTCCCCTCCAGCAGCTCCAACGACGCGCCGCCGCCGGTAGAGACGTGCGACATCCGCGGCGCCTCCCCGCTCAGCTCCGCCGCGCTCGCGCTGTCGCCGCCGCCGATGATGCTGAGCAGCCCCGCCTTCTGCGTCCCCTCCGCCATCACCTTCGCGATCGCAAAGGTCCCTTTGGAGTAGCACGGCATCTCGAACACCCCCATGGGCCCGTTCCAGATCGCACTCCGGCACTTCCGCACGACGGCGACGTAGGTCTCGATCGTCTTGGGGCCGATGTCAAGCGCCATGAAGCCGTCTGGGATGTCCACCCCGGGCGTCACCCGTGGGGACCCCACCGGTTTGAACTCCGTGTGGCACAGGTGGTCCACCGGGAGGAAGACCTCGACCTTGCGCTCGGCCGCCTTCTTCAGCAGCGAGCGGGCCAGCTCGAGCTTGTCCTCCTCGCACATCGAAATCCCAATCGCGTGGCCTTGCGCCTTCAGGAAGGTGTACGCCATCGCGCCCCCAATGATGAGGTAGTCAATCCGCGTGAGCATGTTGTCAAGGAGCATGATCTTGTCGCTCACCTTGGCACCCCCGACAATCGCGACGAGCGGACGAGGGGGGTTGTTCAGCACCTGCGAGAAGTAGTTCACCTCCTTTTCCATCAAGAAGCCGGCGTAGCCCGCGCCGAGGACCTTCGGAATCCCTGTCATCGTCGCGCTGTCGCGGTGGGCCGTGCCGAAGGCGTCGCTCACGTAGATGTCGCCATAGGAGGCGAGCACCTTCGCCATTTCGAGGCGGTCCCCCTCCTTCTTGCTGCCCTCCGTGGAGTAGAAACGGACGTTCTCGAGCAGCAGCACGTCGCCCGGCTTCAGCTTTGCCACGTAGCTCGACGCGTCGAGGCAGTCCGGCGCGAAGGCGACCGTCTTCCCCAGCAACTCCGAGAGGCGCCCGGCGACGGGCTTCAACGACGCCGACTCCTCGTACCCCCGCACACCGGACGCGGGCTTCGGATCCGACATCGCGACCCCCTTCGGGCGGCCCAGGTGGCTCATTAGGATGCAGCTCCCGCCCGCCTTCAGCACCTGCTGGATCGTCGGCAGGGCCGCGCGAATGCGGAAGTCGTTCGTGATCTCGCCGTTCTTGATCGGGACGTTGAAGTCGGCGCGGATGAGGACCTTCTTGGCCTTCAAATCCACATCCTCAATACCGGCCTTGGGCTTCAGAGACATAGTGGTGAGATGGCGGTGGTTAGGGTGATGGTAGTGATAGCTTTTTGTTTGGAAAGTAACTTCGTAGTGAGCTATGAAAACCAAAATACACACATATGCACACGTCGATGAAAGTCGTACACGCATTAAAAGAGCCATGGGTGAAAAGAAAAAGTGGGATACATGTTACCAGGGAGAGGCATATTTTATTTCGAGGTGAGGGGGACTAAAAAGTAATCCCAATAGTACGGCCAGGTTGCAGAGAAAGAGAAAACACCAATTGAAAGAAATTAAGCATTGATGCGATCCTCGGAAAATTTCACAGAAAATATGCATATACAATAATACTAGAAAAATATATAGCAACAAATATGTATTTGTTTTTCTTTTGAAATATAATAGGGTGTAATTTTCTGATCTCTCTGTTGGAGATCCTTCTTTTCGATCAGAGGGGGAAAAGGTAGAACTAAAAAAATTTGTGAAACATCTCTTGCAATTTTGTCTCAACGAAAGGGTATTGGGATAGAGGAATAATCAAAATAATACAGGGACGAATTCATATCCGATATTTTGAGTCGTATAAAATCAGTCTTTGTTGTCCAGAGCACCGATCCCCGGCAGTAATTTGCCCTCAAGCAAGTCTAAAGCAACAGTGCTAGCCCAGACGTGCGAGACTCTAGCAACTTGCTCACATCTTTCCGCCGCGATGGTGGTATCTCCACCAATGATGGTACTCAACAACCCACGTCGTACCGTGGCGTCGCCTATCACCTTCGCGATCGCAAAGGTCCCTTTGGAGTAGCACGGCATCTCGAACATCCCCATGGGCCCGTTCCAGATCACACTCTTTGAACTTCCAATGACTTTCGCAAATGTCGAAATCGTCTTGGGGCCGATATCCAGCGCAGTGAACCCATCGGGAATGTTGGCATCGTTTGTTATCATCGGCCGCGCAGTGGGGGATGGGTCATTATGGCATAGGTGATCGACAGGAAGGTGAACGTTCACCTTCCGCTCATGCGCGGTCTTCAAAACTTTCCGTGCGCGTCGAACGATCTCCTCGTCGCACTTTGTCGCTCCAGTTGGATGCCCTTGGGCCTTTAGAAAGGGAAGCGCAACACCACCCCCTATAATTAGAGAATCTACCAACGTAAGCATGTAATCTATTAGCCAAATCTTGCTGCTAAGACTAGAACCACCCACGATGAGAGTCAAAGGTCGCGCCGGTTTATTCAGTAACTGGATCCAGTAGGAGATCTCCTTATCCATGAAGTAACCCGCCACACCGTGCCCCATGACTTTTGGAATTCCGGTAATCGATGCAGCCTCGCTTTGAACCAGAGTAAAGGCATCGTTTATATAAATATCTCCATACGATGCTAGTATTTGAGCCATTTGTAGGCGTTTATTCTCGTCGGTGGAATTCTCCTCCTCATAGAGGGCGAGGTTTTCAAGTAGCATGACGTCTCCAGGGCCCAATTTTTTGATCTCTTTTCTCGCGTTAAGACAATCATACGCGAAGAAAACACGCTGATCGAGGAGTTCCGCTAGACGTTCCCCAACCAGCCTCAGACTAAACTCCTGCTCCGATTTGGTGGTCTGAAAAGGCTTTTGGAACACTCTTTCGGTACTTTCTTTGATAAAACGGGCGATCAGATGCTTTTTCTCCTCGTCCGGTAATTTTGCGAAAACAGCTGTCTTACCAGAGCCCGGATTCACAGAAAGGGACATTAATTTTTCTTTCCTGCTACTCCACGAGAGAATAAGAGCTTTATCCTCGCCAGACAACTTTTCGAAGAAGGAAATCTTGCTTCCCCCATCGTAAGATAAAATGTGTTTTTTTCTTTGTTGACATTCTTCCCTAATCATGGCAGCTGTATTGATGTCGACGCTCTTCGGCTGACCAAGGTGGCTCATCAAAATACAAATACCTCCTTGATCAAGGATACGTGAAATGGTAGGAATGGCCAGACGGATACGGTAGTCATTTTCGATGACTCCTGTGCGAATATTGACATTGAAATCCACACGAATGAGAACTCGCTTTCCGTTCACTGGCCAAATGTCATCCACACCTTTTTTCGGTTGCAACGTTTGCGGAAGCATCGGTCACTAAAACTTCCTGTCTTTTCCTCTTTCTTTTAGTTACCTATATTAATAGTTTAGTTTTTGAAGAACCCTCTAGACCTTTTTCATTAGTATTATTATAACAGACTCACAAAGCGAAGGGAAGGGTGAGCATACAACGAAAATTGGAATCGAAACCCCCCTATGGAGCGGACATATACCCACTTCCATGCGTCGATAAAATTATATTCGACAGCCTCCCTGTTACACAAAAGCTCTTATTTTCATATATAAAAAAGGAAATGCCCTACACATTCCATTTCATCTTTCCAGTAACACCCTGACTCGTCGGTCTAGGTGAAATCTCATACAATCTTGCTTGACATGCGGATCCTCCTCAAACTAATTTGCGGAATACCCTCCACCCCTTTCCATGTCATTTTAACTGCTTTAATCGTGCCTCAACATCCTCCAACGAGTTCCAGATCGACTCCAGGGTCTCCTTGCCCATCTCCTTGAGTATCTGGCTTTTGCACATCGTCAACACAAAGACCGTCTCAAGCAGCATTTTCATCTCCTCCTTGCTCAACACGACCTCCATCGAGGAGAGGTTTTCCTCCAGAATCGCGATACACTCCTCAATCTCTCGGATAGACCCCTCCGTGGGGTCGAGATAAGGAGCAAGGCATCCCATAACGAGGGCGCGCTCGACCGAACGCCCGCCATGCGCCTCCACACTGTACGCATGGGCGGTCTCCAGCACCTCCTTCGCGAGAGGGCGTCGGAGAAAATGCAAAAGTCTCCCACATTCCCGCGCGATCCGCGCCATCTCCGGTGTCGCCGCGGCCCCTTCATGTTGTCGATGCAACGCAAGCCAGAGCTCCGCCGCGACGGGGAGATCGCGCGCCTGGCCATGCGCGAGGTACGCCGCGCTGCGATCCATACAACGCGCGAGATCGTCATCCGGTGGGGTCTGAAACTCCTTAAACCGCCGCACCATCGCGACGGTATGCCAAACCAATGCGTAGCCGAGGTCCTCGCTGAGGCCTCGCCACCGCCGCGGCCACAGCCCTTTGAGAGAAGTCGAGGCAGCCGTCAAAATCGCCGCCGCCGGCGCCGCGCCGGACGTCAAAAGAACGCGCGCGACCGCCGGATGCATCGCGCACCCCCCGGTTTGCCATCGGAGGGTAAAAAGACCGAGTTGGAGGGCCCTCCCACCGAAATCCCCGACGGCATCGTCCCCCACCACCGCGGCGATCACCCCATCCGAAAGGTCGTTGAGGTGAAAACACGCGAGCACGGCGAGATGACGGGGGGCCGCCGGGAACTGTCGTTGAAGCTCGCCGACGGAAAGCGGAAGAAGCACCGCGAGGGCGCCGGAGATGCTCAGCGTGTTCGCCCCCTTCAGCCCCGCGGCGGTGAAGCGGGCGTTGAGCTCCGCGCTCGAGACGACGCCGGCGATCACGAGCGCGTGGGCGACGTGCATGAGGAGGGGAACGAACCCCAGGGCGGCGTAGACGTCTTTCATCCCTTCCCGCTCGGAAGGCTCGACCTCCTCGATGAACGGCCCCACGGCGTGCGGGGAAAGCGGAGGAACGGGGTTGACATGCACCTTCAACGAGCTTGTCAGCGACGGCACGCTCGCGTCGACGCCGGAGGTGAGCAACACAAAGACGTTCTTGTGTTTCGGGAGGATCTGCAACGCCGCCTCGGGGTGTTCGACGTCGTCTAAGACGATGAGCACGTCTTTTTCCTTCCGACCTCGCATGCGGGTGAAGAAATGCTCGAGCTGGGAATCCAACGCGTGGGCGCCGTCAAACCACTGGATGCAGCTAAACCGCGGCGCGGACCGCGCGCACTCGCAAAACGCCGCGGCCATGGTGGATTTGCCGATCCCGTCAACCCCCACGAGGAGTTGATAACGCCGCCCGAGGAGGAGGTTTTGCCAGAGCGACATCACCTCCATTTCACGGCCGATCGTGCGGGAAGACATCGTCGGCACGTGGTAAACAAGCGGATCCGCCCCGTTCGCATCGCGTGCAGGGGGGGCGTCAGAGAAGCTACTCTCAGTACGAGCCAAAAAAAACGGTAAGGAGGCCCGCGCGATGAGGTTTAGACGGCGCATCGTCGTATACAACTTTGTAAGTCCCTCCCCCCTCTTTATCTCCTCGTGAAAAAAAAAAGAAAAAACTAAACTTTGGACAAATGGGAACACAAAGCATTCAGCAAACAGGTTTGGATGGATGAAAAAGTAAGGCATCATGCCAAAACAAATACTTCTTATGGCACTGAAATGTAACACACCTCGTCAGCTTCCCGTTTGCTCGCTTACACTCCCCCTTTCTCATCCCAGGAGATCACGTTTGGTAACGGAAGGTTGTCAGGCGCGTCAGGGCAATAATGGCGAATTCAAAATGCAAGCCCATTTTTTAAAATATTCGCATGCTCCTATTGGAATGGCAGAAGTGGGTATTACCTGTCAAAAGAGCTCGGCGTGAAGGATTTCCAGGGTTCGTTGCCGTCAATATTCAACTTCCTATGTGAGGTTGTCTCCGCTCCGCCCATCGATGAACCCCCCTCCGCCGTCAACGGCCGTTCAAATGTTTTCATAAAGCGTTCAAACTGCTCGTCCACACGTTCGGCAGCGAGCTGCTGCGCCCCCAACTGCCGTGTGAATTGTATCTTAGCCATATTTTCATTGATTTCACCAATGATATGATTCGACCCTTTAAGGCTTGCCGAGGCTTTTTCGTAGTCGCCCTTATGCGCCGCGAATGCTTCACGGGAGCGCGCCACATCCTCCATCTGCTTCTTAGATGACTGCTCGGAAGCGGCGATCTCATGGCGAAGCCCACTTTCGTAGCCAAGGTCCGTTTTACTTGGATATTTGCCGGTCTGCTTCCGCACCGTTTCGGCGTCCTGAACGTAGCTCTGGTTCATTTGCTTGTGCATTTGATCCGCCTCTTTTAGCTTCGAGAGGCAGTAACTGTGCATGGCCGTGCACTCCTCTCCATCGGACTGCGCGGTATCGGAAAGGACGCGTTGTTGCAAATCGTGATTTTCCTGCCAATCAACCGGTGTTCCGTATTCATCCACACACGTACCCCGTACCAGTGCCCCGTTATTCCAGATCCCCGTGAAACTAAGCCGAGGATCATTGTTTAAGTACGTCTGAGTCCCCTCCCCGTGTGCGCGGCCGTGTTCGTTAAACTCGCCCTCGTAGGTGTAGGTCGATGTGTAGAGCGTGCCTGAACGGATATTACCGTCTAAAAATTCACCCACATAAACAAACCCGCCATCCAATTTCATCTTACAATTCACGCCGTGCAGCTTGCCTTTAAAAAAAGTGCCCTCCTGCTCGCCTCCAGACGCAAACACCAACCGCCCTTTCCCATGTGGCTGATTGTCTTGAAACTCTCCCTCGTAGGTGAAGTCCTCCTGGGAAAGCTTACCCTGGAGAAAAGATTCATCCTTTAAGGTGCCCTCAAACACAACCTCCTGGGTTCCGTTCGGAATGCGCACAACCCCCTCAACGAGTTCATCTTTATGAAAACGACCTTTATAGTGAGTTCCGTCGGCCAGCCATGCCTCACCATCCCCATCACGTTGCCAATGCTCGTTAAAGGAGCCTTTGTAGAGATCCCCGTCTTCCTCGAGTTGGCTGCCAGGTAAGGGAAAGCCGTGAGCTTCGTCGAAGTTACCGCTGAATGCCCGACCGTCCGGTAAGACCGCGACTCCATTTAGTAGCAAATTGGGATTCCGAGGGTTTCGTACGCCTTTTAAAATGGTACCGCTTGGCAATGTGACTTGAGAAAGCCGCCAAGCAAGACGCCGAAACATCACTAAACTCCCTGATACACTTTTCCACACTACTTTTTTCCACGCTTCGAAGGGTAAAATATGTGGAAGAAAAAGGAAAACCGAAACCCAATAGGAAGCTATAAATCGACCCTTCGCGATCAAAAGTCATACAGAAAGAATTTCAAATGCATTATGCATATCCTTTCTCCCATAGTCTAACGCTAGGTCTACATTGATATAAATTAAATCAAAACAAAACCTGTATATTAAGAGGCCAACCATTTCGGACTTTATCAATACGAAATACCGGCGCCGCAAGAGTGAGGGAAATAATAACAACAACATTTAGATATATATATATAAATAAGTCGATCTAATATACTTTTTTGAAGCTACATACACAGTAATAGCCACACTAGTAGGTAACAATAACTTCAGTTATTACAATTATCATTGCGATTACCAAATTTATGCTCATGGATTAAGTTTTTCCTTTTTTTTCCTGTGCAAATTTATGTGATCTGTGTGAACGATGATTTTCCATACATGCTGTTTTTGTTAAAAATTATTCAGTCATGACATTGTTCCGCCGCTCCTCCGCGGAGTAGATGTATCGATACCAGATTCTCCGCCGCCGTACACTATCTTTTTTCGAATCGCCAACACTATATACATTTGGCAACAGCTGATGTGCTTGCGAGGGGACGTCTTCGTTGGCTTTGTAGCCCTCGACCGATTCAGGGAAGTCCCGCTGCGAGCCCGAGGCGCTGTAGCACGGCGTGAGGCCTTGGGATAGCGGACTCGTCGTCCCCAGCGCGATATCAAAAGCCGGGAAGGGCGGGAAACAAATCACCCCTTTTTGAAGGCCCTGCAGCTGAAGGGCGGTGAAGGCCCACCTGGCTAACGCGCCAGCCACGGTGGAGTATTTTTCCGTCAACCTCGCGGGGTCGAGCTCCGGTTTTAGGATCTTCCAACACGCCCTATAAAACGAAGGCGCCGGAAGGGCCTCGGTGAAGGTGAAGACGAGCATCTGGGTATAAATGATCTGGGAACATTTCCCTCTAAAATGGTTTTTGAGCCATTGCGCGTAATCCGGGACGGGCCGCGACGCGAGGAGGGCTCCTAGGACATCCAACAAATCATCCCGCGCATCGCCGGCGGAAAGGGGATCGCTTTCCTGAACAAAGGCCTCCACCTTCTGACGGGTGATCTCGGTGTTGCCTTCCAAATAACATTTCAGCCGCCCTTCGAGGGTTTTGATCAGATTCTTCCGGAACGAGGTATCATGAAACGGAATGACAACGCCGTCGCCGGCAGCGCCGCCGCCGATTCCCGCGAACGCGACATCCGCACAGAGGTACGAGAACGAACTCCCCCGCAGCGCCCAGAGCACCAAACCGTTGAGCAGCGTCGTCGGTTCCCTCGCAAATTGTTTCTCACACTCGTTCGCGAAGGTTTCATTCGATGGGAGGGGCGTCGATCGCGCCACGTTCGCGTCCCTATCCCCTGGTATCGCATCGGGAGCGGAGGACTCCGCTGCCTGCGTGAGCTGCTTTTCTCGCCCACATTGCATAATGCGTTGCAACAACGCGTCCGCCTCAAACTCACCCTCTGTAGGCTTTTCAATGAATTCCGAAATTCCCAAGAAGAAGCTCCTCAGCGCGGTGGCTGGTGTGGCGAGATTTTCCGCATAAACAGCAGCACATACCGAAGAAAGTCGTATTTTTACTTCTTCGTTAGCGTTGTTGTGATCTTCATCGAGGCCAAAGTAGGCACGAAGTTTTACCAACAATTCAGAAGGATTCGTTATCACTTCATTCGAATTTTTCTCGAGTGATGACAGCGTATCGGTTCGCTTTGTGGTTGCACTAAGGCATACCTGATTCACACTGTTATCACAGCGGCGAAGTAATCTTGTGAGTTGAGCGATGGTAAAGCTTGCGCCCAACAAGATTCGGATGAATTTAGCTAGAAACTTCAAAAGACTCACTGTATCCGCTTCCACATACACGGAAGAGTTACTACCGGAGGGGATTTCATGATCATTCTCTTTACTAAATTGTTGCGGGCTGTCAGGGGGGCATATCCCAGAGGTTTCCACTTCCCAGATGGCGTTTGTAAGGGTTAGCGAGGTGAAGCCGCCTTTCCATATATCCCCCTCCGACGTGATCTCAACCCGTTGGCTGGTATGATTCCCACTCGCCGAGCTCACTATAAACAGCCTCATATCCGGTTCCCCTCGCGTGGAGACCCCCGAGGCGTCCGACGAGGCCCTTGGGCGCATGTGAAAGGCCCCGCGAAGGCATTTTTTCAAACCCGCCAAGATCGCACCGTGGTGGAGACGACACATCAGAATCTGCTCTTGCCAACCCCATCGAACGACCGATTGGAGGAGCGAGTTCGCGGCGTCGATCGGGATGAGCATGGGAACCACCGAGGCCGGCAGCGGCAGCGTACTCGACGCGGTTTTTTGACTGCTGCCGAGGCTGCTTGGGTTGGAGTCGTCGCCGCCGGCGGGCTCCCCTGTGGGGCGTGGCGAGGTGGGGAGGGAACCCCCCTCCCTCGAGGG